GATTCTCCTGCCTCAGCCTTCCAAGTAGCTGGCATTATAGGCACACACCACCATGCCTGGCTACTGTTTTTTTTTTTTTTTAAATTGAGACAGAGTTTCGCTCATTATCCAGTCTGGAGTGCAATGGCGCAATCTCTGCTCACTGCAACCTCCACCCCCTGGATTCAGGCAATTCTCCTGCCTCAGCCTCCTGAGTAGCTAGGATTACAGGCACACGCCACCATGCCCAGCTAATTTTTTTTGTATTTTTAGTAGAGACAGGGTTTCACTATGTTGACCAGGATGGTCTCGATCTCTTGACCTCGTGATCCAGCCGCCTCGGCCTCTCAAAGTGCTGGGATTACAGGCGTGAGCCACCGCGCCCGGCCGTAATTTTTCTATTTTTATTAGAGACAGGGTTTCACCATGTTGGCAGGGCTGGTCTCGAATGCCTGACCTCATGGTCCGCCTGCCTCGGCCTCCCAAAGTACTGGGATTACAGCCGTGAGCCACCGCACCCAGACCACACCCAGCTAATTTTTAAAATACTTTTTATTTCATTTTAGATTTTTTGAGATGGAGTCTCACTCCATCACCCAGGCTGGAGTGCAGTGGTGCAATCTTGGCTCACTGCAACCTCTGCCTCCCAGGTCCAAGCGATTTTCCTGCCCCAACCTCTAGCTGGGATTATAGGCATCCACCACCATGCTTCGCTAATTTTTTTGTATTTTTAGTAGAGATAGTGTTCCATCATATTGGCCAAGCTTGTTTCAAACTCCTAACCTCAGGTGACCCACCTGCCTTGGTCTCCCAAAATGCTGAGTTGACAGGTGTAAGCCATCACACCCAGCCTAATTTTTTGTAGAGATGAGGTCTCACTATATTGCCCAAGTTGGTCTTAAACTCCTGGGCTCGAGTGACCCTTCTGCCTAGGCCTCCCAAAGTGCTGGGATTACAGGCATGAGCCACTGCACGAGGCTGATTTTATAGTGTTGCAGCACACCACTTCTGGGTCCTAATTCTGTAACAGTTTGTTTAAACATTCTGATGTGCTAACAACCAACCTCCACATATCAATGGCTCACAGCAAGAGAGACTTATTTCTCACGTTTTGCATCATTTTACAGGTAGGCTGGAGCCCAGCTTTATGTCATTGTCATTCTGGGTTATAGGCTAAACAGGAAGTCTAGATCTGGAAACTGCCAGATCTAGACTTAGAAATCTGAGCAGAGGGAAAAGAGAAGAGAAGCTGCTAGAGCATTCTGTGGTGCCTAAAACGTCTATGTGGAAGTGATACTTTACCTTCCTTCCTTTTTTTTTTTTTTTTTTTTGAGACAGTTTTTCTCTTTTTGTCCAGGCTGGAGTACAAATGGCACAATCTTGGCTAACTGCAACCTCTGCCTCCCGGGTTCAAGTGATTCTCCTACCTCAGCCTCCCTAGTAACTGGAATTACAGGCGCATGCCACCATGCCTAACTTTTTATTTTTAGTAGAGACAGCATTTCACCATGTTGGCCAGGCTGGTCTCGAACTCCTGATGTCAGATGATCCACCCGCCTCGCCCTCCCAAAGTGCTGAGATTACAGGCGTGGGCCACTGAGCCTGGAAGATACTTTACATTTCTACTCATATTCCATTGGCCAAAGCAAGTCCTATGCCCAAGTCTACTGTAAGCAGGGAATGAGTGTATAATGCTCCTATAGGGAGGGGCCCAGCAGGGAAGGAAAGTAAATATCTAGAACGGAGATGTCAATCACTGCACTAATGCACTCCTCCCCCAGCACATATACACACTCTGCTGCAGCGTTTTGTACCATGGCGCCTCATGCATACTTCTTAGCCAAGGGCAAAGTCTTGACTCAAGGGCAAAGTCTTTTTTTTTTTTTTTGAGACAGGGTCTGGCTCTGTTGCCCAGGCTGGGGTGCAGCGGTGCAATGTTGGCTCACTGTAGTCTCAACCCCAGGTCCAAGCAATCCTCCCACTTTAGCCTCCCAAGTAGCTGGGACCACAGGCATGCACCATTGGCATGTGCCCAGCTAATTTTAATTTTTGTAACCACAGACTAGGATCTTGTTATATTTCCTTGGCTGGTCATGAACTCCTGGGCTCAAGCAATACTCCTGCCTTGATCTCCCAAAGTGTTGGTATTACAGATGTGAACCACAGCACCCAGCCTCAAGGGCGAAGTCTTGAGCTAAAGGCAGACAATTCCTAGGCAAGTCAACATAGCCTGACCTGGAGAGTAGACCAGACCATTCCTTTCCTTGGGAATTTGAACAATAGATTGAATGAGGGAGCTGCAGCTGACAGGTTGTTGTACATGATGGATCTGGAAATGTCACATCTAACCAATACCCTGTTGCCTGAAAGTTGGGCAACAGGGTCTTGACCCAAGTTCCTAGCCAAGCTAGGAATCCACCTGTTCGCTTGCCTACCAGGTCTGCTCCAAACTCACCTGCTCAAAGACCTTCCGTGGGTCCTGACAGCCCACAGGAAAAATTCAAAGGCTTGAGCCTGGCATCCAAGGCCCCACCTGGCCATGCAGCCACCTCTTCCAGGAGGTTCTAGACAGCTTCCTGGATGAAACAGGGAAGCTGCTTTTCAGGCATGGTGTTGTCCAGCACGGGTAAGAAGAGCCACACGCTGCACATGGACCCCGGCTGCATAGACAGTGGATGCCGAGAGTCTCTATCAGATCCCAGTAAGCACCACAGATCTTGCAATTTTACTCTGAAGGCAGAGAAGCCAGAGAGTGGATGAAGGTAGCCAGCAGGACAGGATTTTGCTGGAGATGCAGGCAGGGCATCAGGGAAGCCTAGAGGCCCTGGGTCCGGCCTTGTACTGGGGCAGCATCCGCCTGGCCCGGCAGCTCCCATCGGGTGGACGCACCTAGATCACATCTGCACACTCCTGAGAAGGTGGAGCTCTTTCCTGTAAAGCCCACCACACACTGGCCCTGCCGGGCCCTCCTCAGATGCACAGACTTCCAGTGATTTTTGAGGGTTCAATCTAGCCCCTTGTGGTCTACAATCCAACCACTTCGGTCTTGCCCTGAGGCCCTGAGCACACCCACTTCCTAGACCTATAGGCCCTTTGATGTTGGGGTGGGGGTCACTCTCACAGGACCCTCCAGACTAATCCCGATGCTCTTCAGAGATAACACTTAGGTCCCGCTGGCCAATCGCAACCAAACCAAACCATGGCCTTGACCACGCCCCATGTACGACCCACCGAGTTGCGGGCCCTCTCGGACCGTGCAACCCGCACTCTAGGGCCACCAGGAGGCGCTCCGGGGCCGCCAGCCTTGGAGGCAGAGCAGGCGGGGTCGGCCAGGCCCAGCCCTCGGGCCCAATCCCGCCCTCCCGCCCCTCCCCAACCCGGTCCAGGGCCCGGTCCAACGTGCATCAGCGAAGCCACGTCCAGCCCTTCCGCGATGCGGTCACCCACGTGTGGCAACACGGGACTGAACCCGCCAGACTGGGCAGCTGGGAGCGGCGGCAGCAACTGCAGGACCCTGTAGGATTGAAAGTAGGATGGACCTTGGCGGGTGCCTCGCGGTCCCCAGACCTTGGAGGTCAGAGCGAGGCGCTGCCCTATTGCAACCAGACAGGAGCCAGGAACCAGCTTGTCCTTTAAAACCACTTGTTGGGGTACAGGAGCCATGACCACTCCAGAAATTAGGCATCGGAGCTAGGAGCCCTTAGAAGTTTAGTCAGGGCTTGGATCTCAGGGGCCCTATTGAAGACACCAGGGGTCAGGCTTTTCTGCTGCCACTACCTGCTTCAGGAACGTAGCCCTCAGCCACCAGGTGCACTGATCCGGGTCACTGGCTCTCTATGCTGCTGCTGCTGGTGATTATTATTTTTGAGGCAGGGTCTTGCTCTGTCACCCAGGATGGAGTTCAGTGGTAAGACCATGGCTCACCACAGCCTCAACCTCCTGGGCTCAAGTGATCCTCCCACCTCAGCCTCTGGAGTAGCTGGGATGACAGGTACTTGCCATCATGCCGGGCTAATTTTTTTTTTTTTTTTTTTTTTTTTAATGTAGTCTCGCTCTGTAGCCCAGGATGGAGGGCAGTGGTGCAATCTCGGCTCACTACAACCTCTGCCTCCCGGGTTCAAGCAATTCTCCTGCCTCAGCCTCCCAAGTAGCTGGGACTACAGGCATGTCCCGCTAATTTTTTGTATTTTTAGTAGAGATGGGGTTTCACTGTGTTAGCCAGGATGGTCTCTATCTCCTGACCTCATGATCCACCTGCCTCAGCCTCCTAAAGTACTGGGATTACAGGCGTGAGCCACCATGCCCAGCCACAATGGGCTAATTTTTAAACTTATTCTTCTCTCAAGAGAAGTGGTTGCACCATGCTGCCTAGGTGCAAACTCCTGGGCTCAAGAGATCCTCCTGCCTGGGCCTTTCAAAGTGTTGGGATTACTGGTGCTAATAACCGCACCCTGCCCGAACTCTTATGTTAAAGACGGTGCTTTTGTTGGTCACAGGGCCTGGCCTCCTGTGCTTTTTTCTGGCAACCCCTTCCCCAGCTTCTCTCCATAGCTGGCTTCTCCCCACTTAACATTCTACTCCAATAAATGTCATCCCCGCTGCAACCAGACCATCCTTGTCCACTGCATCCAAAGTGACAGCCTCAATTAAGCATTTTTTCATGTTGCCTCTTCCATCATCTGGGCTGCTGATGCCCACTGATGCCCCCCACACACACACACCTCCATCTCACTGTGTCCCAGCCTGGCCTGGTCAGCCTCATTGTTTCCAAGACAGATACTCACAGTTGTCTTCCCAGGGACAGTACTGAGCCAGGAGTAAGATGTGGGTGTTACCCTGCCCTGCCCACCCATTCCTAGGGGGGCAGAAGGGCAGAGCCAGCCTGCTATGAGCACAGAACCCAGGGTGGTCTGACCTGAGCAGCTGGGGCTGGGCCTGGCCCCGGGGATGTCCAGGAGATAGGGAGGTTGGAAGCCCGGAGGCCTTGGGCCAGCCCTTCCAGGAACACATGTGCACAGGGCTTTCCATGCTCTTTTTCTGTTTTTTAATTTTTTACAAAACCGTGTGTCCTGGCGAATCAGGACAGTGCAGGCCTCCCCCAGGCATTGAGGCCTGAAGGCAGAGGCCCCCATGAATGAGCAGCTACCAACCCCAGAACTGTCTGCCTCTCTGCATAGGGGCCAGTGTGAGGGAGGGGTCCGGCTGGAGATTCTGCCCTGCCCCCCAGGTTGCTGGGAGAGAAGGCCAGGCCCTGGGTCCCTGGTGCTCCTAGTGCCTGCAAGGGAAGGAGGGAGAACAGGGTCTGAGGGAGGAGGGAGGGCTAGGGCCAGGGCTGGGGCAGGCCAGGGGGCAACCCCCAACATCTCACCAACAATGTGCGGCATTATCCAACCACTGTGACGCCAATGATGACTGCTAGGAGGACGATGATGACGGACACACAGATGGCAATCAAGACTTTCTTCTGTGGGAGAGGAAGGAGGGGGTCAGGGAAGTCACATGGGGTTACTGGGGCAGGGGCCAGGCCTGAGAGGCTCACCTTCCTAGCCTTCTTCTGGTTCTCCAGGGCCGTCTTGACGTGCTCCTGCCCACGTTCCACGTAGTCTGCTGAGCTCAGAATGTTCTTCTCGATCCGATTGATCATCTCCCCCTGCTCAGAGGATGGGGAGGTTCAGGGAGGTAGGGATGCCTTTGTCCAACCCACCCCTGGATGACAAAAATGTTCCTGGCAGGAAAAGAAAAATTGCACTAACAAAGACAAGGGAAACACTCGATCTGACAAAAGCTCAGACTCCTTGGGGATGGCTTCCAGGCCTTTTCTATCACGTGGTCCCTTGTCCCCTGCTTGATTATCCCATACAACCTCTATCTGCAGTGGTGGCTTGGAGCTGAGGGCCTCAAATGGCTCATACCTTTCACAGATGATGAACTGTGACTTCACAAATCTGTCTGAATTTACCCATTCTTCCGGTCCCATCTCCAGCTGCTGCAAAGCCCTCCCTATCCCTGCCTCCTCCTGGCACCACCAGCCTCAGGTCTCAGTACTCCTACTGAATGAAATCTCTTTCCCGTAAGTCTCAGCTGCAAAAGGGCATTGGCTGTAGCATGACTGAGGCCAGCTCCTCCCAGACAGGCTGGAAGCTCAGCTCAACTCACACAGCCAGGCCCAGGGAAATGCCACCCCCACCCCAGCCTTGTACAGATGTTAGGAGAAAGGCCCTCTAGGGCAACTTTGACTGGAGCTCTGAGAGGTATAAGGGTGGATGCTGTTGGCAGAGGGGGAGCCAGGGCTGGGGCCAAACACAGACAGGCTCAAGTTGGAGAGGGGGCAGGGTGCTATGCAGAAGGGAGTGGGTATCTGGGTAGCAGCAGAGATAAGCGCGATTCTTGGGGTACAGCTAGGATACGAATAAGCACCAATCTGGGGGCATGACCAAGCCTGGAAGACACAAAAGCCTCAGGAAGAGAGTCTAAGGCTGGCAGAAGGCGGCAGTCACAGCTGGCCATTTGGACTGAGTCCAGTCTCACGTCTGGGGCCATGCAGGGCACCTACCTGCATCTCCACTTCAGTAGCCAGAAAAGTGAAGATCTCGTGCAGTTCGCGAATACTGCGTTCAAGCTGCTGGATCTCACTGTGCCGGGCCGAGATCTCATTTAAGGCCTGTCGAGTCACCTGTGTGTCCTTCAGGATCTGAGGAGTGGACAGGAGTGGGGCAGCTGTTCACAGGGAGACCGACAGCAGGTCAGAAGCTCCTGTTGAGCTTCCGGGGAGCCCTCGGCCTAGAACCTGGTGGGTGACTCCAGACAGGATAATTAATTCCCTTCGGGGCCTCAGGGTGCCCTCAATCAGAAAGGCCCACAGCAAGCGGGGTACAGCAGCTCACACCTATAGTCCTGGCTACTCGGGAGGCTGAGGCAGGAGGATAACCTGAGCCTGGGAGGTGGAGGAAGGGACAGGACTCAGAGGGGATGGGAGGCACAGCAGAGAGGGGCTGGCTATGGCCACTCACATTGGACACAAACACCTCGCTCTGCCCGCTGTCCAGCATCTGTTCCAGCTCCTCGTCAGACACCATCCCAGCATTGGCTGCGAAGGAAAAGGCCAGGCTCATGACTGGGTCAGGATCACCTGCCCCTGCGGGCCAGGCTGGGCACACACAACTCACTGATCTTCAGTTGCCTCCGGATCCGCTCCACGTTCTTCTCCCGGTATTCGGACTGCATTGAATTGCACTTGTTGATGAGCTCCACGAATTGCTGGGACAGGACCCCGTGCTAAAGATGGAGAATATAGGCTGGGTACCCTTGAGAGAATCCCTGCCTGGTCTGAGCCTCAGCATCCCCACAGTACAGTGAGCAAATAGCATGAGCTCTTATAGCCTTAACTACCTTGTGATGACCTTGACAGACTCCTCCATTTCTCTTAGACTCAAAGCCAAAGCCCTTATTAGGCCTACATGGCCCCCCATGATCTTTATTATTTTTTATAATAAAGAGATCTTTATTTTTAATAGAGATGGGATTGACCAGGAACAGTGACTCATACCTGCAATCCTAGCACTTTGGGAGGCCAAGGCAGGGGGATCACCTGAGGTCAGGAGTTGGAGAACAGCCTGGCCAACATGGTGAAACCCTATCTCTACTAAAAAAAATACAAAAATTAGCCAGGTGTGGTGGCAGGTACCTTGTAGTCCCAGCTACTCCGGAGGCTGAAGCAGAAGAATGGCTTGAACCCGGGAGGCAGAGGTTGCAGTGAGCAGAGATGGTACCACTGCACTCCTGCCTGGGTGGGTGAGACCCTGTCTCAAAAATAAAAAAAAAAAAGAGAGAGAGAGAGAGAGAGAGAGAGAGAGAGAGAGAGAGAGAGAGAGAGACAGGGTCTCACTATGTTACCCAGGCTGGTCTCGAACTCCTGGGCTCAAGTAATCCTCTGACCTGAGTCTCCCCAAGTGCTGGGATTATAGGCATGAGCTACAGCACCGGCCGGCGCCCTCTATGATCTCTCCTTTCCCCTTGACCTCTTTGATCTTACTTCCTCCTCATGTTCCCTCCCTCCCTCCCCACTGGTCTCCTTACCCCTCCCTAGACAAAGCAGACTCCCAGCTCAGGCCTTTGTCTTTGCTTCTCCTTCTGCCTAGAATGCTCATTCTCCACAAACACCTTTAAATCTTTTGTTCAAATGTTACCTTCTGAATGAAGTTCTTCCACCTGATTTAAATTGCATCTGTACTCTTCTCCAGCATACTCAGTCCCTCTTCCTCTGCTCTTTTTTCCATAATGCTTATTATGTCTAAATAATTCACTTATGTATTATGGTGATTGTTTCTCTACACCAGAATGGAAGTTCCATGATGAAAGGGATCATTGGTTCACTGCTGTATCCTAAACAGTTCCAAAAGGGTCTGGCACTTGCTGAATGCCAACCTTGCTGCTTATACCACAACTGTGCTCATAAGCCTAGAGATGAACATGCCGCCCAGGCAAAACAGGTGCAACAAGCCCACATGGGCCCTTGACCTCTCATGCCAATCAGCACCACAGGTTACCCCAGAAGCACTGGCTATAGGTCATCTGCTCTGCCTTGCCCCTTCTCCTGAGGCCTTAAATATGTTCGTTCCTTGGAGTTTCGTTTCCAGAGATACATCTACTCTCCTGGATCCGGCTGCACCCTTCCAAGATGCCCAAGTTGCTCCATCTTCAATCTGGGGTCCTCACTTCCAACCCTGGGCCTAACTTCCAACCCTGACCTCCTAGAATCCTAAAGTACTTTTCACTGGGGACCCAGAGAGGGCCAGTCACATCACCCCAAAGGCCAGGTACAGTGGCTCACACCTGTAATCGTAGCATTTTGGGAAGCCACAGCAGGTAGGTCACTTGAGGTCAGGAGTTCAAGACAAGCCTGGCCAACATGGTGAAACGTCATTTCTACCAAAAATATAAAAAAATTAGCCAGGTGTGGTAGTGCACACCTGCAATCCCAGCTACTTGGGAGGCTAAGGCAGGAGAACAGCTTGAATCCAGATGGTAGACGTTGCAGTGAGCCGAGATCCTGCCACTGTACTCCAGCCTGGGTGACAGAGCAAGACTCCATCTCAAAAAAATAATAATTAAAAATATAAGATATCACACCAGGGAAGTTCCTCTTCAGTGTCGCCCCAGGGAAGTTCCTCTTCCTGCCTTCTTGAATTCTGCCTGTGGGACTAAGGACTCCCTGTCACATAGGCAGGAAAGCTGCCAGTCATTTATGACTTCTCTCTTTCCCTGGGCAGCACCATTATCACCAAGTCCTACGTGAGTAATGTCTTTGTCCTTATTGAACCTGAACTCCTCATCTTGACTCCTAGAAAATATGTGTCCCAGCCAGGCATGGTGGCTCACACCTATAATTCCAGCACTTTAGAGGCTGAGACAGGAGTGTCCCCTGAGGTCAGGAGTTCAAGACCAGCCTGGTCAACATGGTGAAACCCCATCTCTACTAAAAACACAAAAATTAGCCAGGCATGGTGATGTCTGCCTGTAATCCCAGCTATTCAGGAGGCTGAGGCAAAAAAAGTAAAAGAAACATGTGTCCCTACAGCCAAACCTAGGTCTTGTCTGGGGTCATAGCAACTTCTTATTGAATGAAAGAAAATAAAGCAGGGTATTATAATCGGACTAAGCATCAGGAGACCTGGTTTCCTGACTTTGAGCAAGTTCTTTCTCTGAGTTCAGTTTCCCCATTTGGAAAATCATTCCGCTGGACTCCACCATCTCTGCAGGCCCTTCCTTCATACATCTGTCATCCAGTACTTCATGAAACATTTGCTGAAATGTCCTCATTTCTGAGAAAAAAAAACCCACCTGGGTTTTTCTTATTCTTGTGTTGACGGAGTTATAGTTCTCATCAGCTTCCTCCTTCTGGGGCTCTATGGCTGTGGGAAGACACATGGAGTACTGGGGGTACTTGTTTCCATGGATTTTTAGGGAAATATAATTTATCATAAAATGACTAAGGCTGAGCCTCCAAGAGGAGAAAGTACGTTTATTTTTCTTTGCATTACATCACTGAGTTCCCATAGGTATGCAGAGGCCACCTAACAAAACCCCATCCTCTTGCCCAAAGAATGCCCAGTGGGCTGCAATAACTGTGTAAGTAAATGGTTACATTGTAAATAAAAGAACCTGAGAGGCCGGCTTGTCCTGTGGAGAGTACAATGGCCTGGAGGCCAGGAGACAGAGATGCTAGACCCAGGCCTGCTGTGTGACCTGGTTATATCATCGGCTTCTCTGGGCCACACACTCCCCAGATACACCAACAACAGGGCAGGATCAAAGGGAAGGATCTGTCTGAGGTCCCAGGAGCTCACCCTTCAGCTGCAGGCGGATCTCCCTCCCCAGCTGTTTGATCTCATCGCGCAGGTTCTGCAAGTCCTGCTTCATGCCTGAATAAGAGAAGACCACGACTCCGAACAGCAGCTCCCACCTCAACAAACCACCCTGGCAATCACCTATGTGGGACTACAACCCCCACAATCCCTAAGGTGGTGCATGCGCCCTGCAGTCGGAGTTTCACTCACTCTCCTCGGGAAGGGGCGTGGCCAAGATGGTGACCTGCTGTTTCTCCAACTCCTGGACTTTATTCCCCAGTTTGACAATAGTCTGCCGAATTGCCCGGACCTGGGGAGGGTGACCGAGAGGGCTGAAAGAGATATGGGGTACTCCAGACCACGCTGGTCCTCGGGTCTTCCTACCCCCTCGCGAATCCAGGCAGAGACCCCAGCCCCTTACCTTCTGGAAGAACTCCTCGTCCGGGCTCCCCAGCCGTGCCATGCCCGGGTGCACCACCAGCGCGACCCGCTCCTTGTCCTCTTCGTCCGAGCTGTCATCCCCCTGCGAGGCCCGGAGTCATTGGTACCACTGTTTCGCTGCGGCTCTCACCCCGCACGACCCACAGGCTTCCGGGACTTTCCTTCCTGGCCATCAGCCATCCCTCCCCGCCCTGAAGATCAGGAGTCCTGCGTTCCAGTTCGTCCGCCCCTCAACATCTCCACTGCCCCCATGTCTCACCTGCCTCAGCTCGTGGGTCCTGTCCCGCATGGCGGCCTGAGCTCTCCCTCCTCGGCGCCTGAGCCAGGAGGCCCTCAAGTTTGGAATTCCCGTACCCCACTCACACTCTGACACTCCCCTCCCTCCCGGTGCGGACCTCAACACCCCCACAAGCCGCCAGACGCTCTGTCCCTTGCACCACCCACAGTCAATGGGAAGGAGCCGACCCCGGGGACCACTAAGGTTCCACAGGTTGGAATTCCCTTTTCTTCCCCTCTCTTGCTCTCTCAGCCTCAGCCCCGCCCCTCCGTGATAAATTCGGGGCATGCGCACAAGGTCGCGTCTCTTCCTCGCCGGAGGGGGAAGGCGGAGTCGGAAGTTGTTGCGCCCCGAGCGGAAACGGAGCTGCCTGGACGCGAGAACCCGCCCCCCTCACCGGAACCGTTGCAACTTCCAACGGAAATCTGGTTGCCAAAAGGCGTAGGAGTACGTCATTTGTACGTAAGCCGAGACACCCGCATCTCATATCACCCCATGATGCCCCCACTGCATCACGTGACCAGCCCGTTCCCAAACTCGCGGACCGCAGAACGTGACGCTGTGACTGTCACGTGTCCCGGCTCTGTCACCGCGGTCTCTGGGACGCCGTTCTCATCACGAAGTCCCCGGCACCCCAGCGACCGAACGACGCCCACACAGCCCCCGCGAGGTGGGGAGGGGCGCGCCGACCACCCCCAGAGGCCTTTTGAGGCAGTGGGTGGGTGTACCCTTGATGACTTCGCCTTTATTGCTTTCGGGTCCAGGAACGTGGGCAGACCACTTAGCATTTGGGGCTGTCAGCATCATGGGACCTCGAAAATCGGGAAATAATATCCGAGCCGTCAGCGTCAGAAAATTGCAGGGTTGTGTGAGCAGGGAATCTGGGGGTGGGAGGTGACCTCACCCAAGGCAGAAATCTCCCGCATCCTCCTGGCGCAGCCTCTGGTAGGTGGGCGGCCGGCGCCCTCCTTGAACATGGCAGCCCGGCTGCACTCACCACCTCTGAGCAGTCAGACCATGTCAGGGCAGCTCAGGCTAAGAAAAGTGTCTGTATTGTTGAGCACGCTGCCTCCCTACCACTCACACCCCCCAGCCCCTACCTTACATCTGAGATCAGGTCATGACTTCGTTCTTAACTGAATCTGGGGAGTTCCTAGCTCACTACCAAGCACATAATGGGCCCTCTGTAAATAACTGTGCACAAAATTTTAGCCTTTCATGTATCTCAGGATAAAGCCCCCAGTTTCCTGGTCTTCTTTGGGTTTCAGACTTTCTGACTGTAACACTTCCCTAACCCTGGCTATCTAGATATTCACTCGTTTTTTATTTTTAAAAATTTTCATGAGGTGAGGTCTCATTATGTTGCCCAAGCTGGTCTCGAACTCTCGGGCTCAAGCAATCCTGCCTCAGCCTCCCAAAGTGCTGGGATTACAGGCAACATTAATTCGCTTAATGGATATTTATTGGGCACATACTATGGACCAAACACTGTTCTAGACTTGGAGACATATCAGGGACTAATAGACAAAAATTCCTGCACTCGTCAAACTTACATTCTCTAGGAGGAGTCCCCAAGGTCACTCAGCAAGTCTCAGCATAGCCAGGAATGAATAATGGACTCCTGGAACCCAGGGCTCTCCAGGAAGCTTCTGTGAAGGTACAAGTAGGGGAAGGAATGGACCCTTTCTGCTATGACCTGGTCAGGAAGCCTAGATTCCTGGGACTGAGTTGCTATGGACTTCTGGAAATCGCTTCCTGTCTCTAAGCCTTGATCTCCCTCTGTACAGTGGGTAACTAGGGGGATGGAGAGATCATTATAGGTATCCCCTGCTCTAAACTTCAGTGATGATGAGGTTGGAAATTGTCGAGTGCTATCTGATTCTATGTGAAGGGCTTTAGCTCTTCTTTTCCTGTTAAAACCCAGCTCAGCCTGGGCACAGTGGCTCATGCCTGTAATCCCAGTACTTTGGGAGGCCAGGAGTTCAAGACCAATGTGACGAAACCCCATCACTACAAAAATACAAAAATTAGCCAGCCATGATAGCAGGTGCCTGTAATCCCAGCTACTCAGGAGGCTGAAATGGGAGGATTGCTTGAACCCGGGAGGTGGAAGTTGCAGTGAACTGAGCTGGCGCCATTGCACTCCAGCCTAGGTGACAGAGTAAGACTCTGTCTCCAAACAAATGAACAAACAAAAACCAGCTAGTAGAAGAGTGCTGCCCTGATCAACTCACAGACGGAGTATAGGATTTTTCGGGAGGCCAAGCCCTGCCCAATGGTGTCCCCTGGAGATAGTGAGAAAAGATTCTCTGCTTCTGGGTCTTCCACGTTCCATGTCAGCCCCTGCTTCTTCAATTACTGCTGCTTGCCTCCTGCGTCTTTTGTCTCCTGCTACCTGACCCCCTTTCCCTTCCTACTCTGTGTCTCTGAGTGGCACATGGTGGAAGGGCTCTTGGACCCCTGACTTGTAGTCCTGTGTGGGATCTTAAATAATGCATTACTTCTCTCTGGGACTCAATTTTCCCATTTGACCACTTGGTTCTATAATTTCTGCCTTGCCTAAAGTAGGCTTTGGACAGTATCAAGTGAGGTTAGGAAGGATGTGGAAGGGTCTGGTAAACTGTTGAGGGTGCCTTTCCCTCTAGGCCTCTGGGCTTTTTTTTTTTTTCTAAGCCGAGTCTGGTTCTGTCACCCTGGCTGGGGTGCAGATCGATGGTGCGATCTCGGGTTCAGTCCATCCTCCTGCCTCATCTCCCAAGTAGCTGGTACTATAGGCACGCACCACTATGCCTGGCTAATTTTTGTTTATTTTTTTGGTAGAGACTGGGTTTCGCCATGTTGCCCAGGCTGGTCTCAAACCCCTGGGCTCAAGCAATCCACCTACCTTGACCTCTCAAAGTGTTGGGATTACAAGTGTGAGCCATTGTGCCCAGCCTCTCTGAGCTTTTACTACTGTGGGTTCCAACTCCTGCCTGTCTCTCTGTTTCTCAGCATCTTGATGGCATGCCTTTTTGGTCCACTGCTGCGATCTGGAGTTGTTGGTGCCTCTACTAAACTTCTCAGGATTATAATATTCATTATTTCATTTGTGGTCTCTGGGTAAGATCACAGGGCTTTGGAATGGTGACTTAAGGTCACAGCAAGCTGGACTCCAAGCCTTGTGGTGGTATGAGGAGAGGAAAGAGACTATTGAGAGAGTGGTGCTGGGAGTGGAGCTCTCCAGAGCTGAGACTTTCTTCCTCTCAGGCCCTCTGAGCAGCCTTGAAGTGGATATTAACTATATTAGTCTGGGTGTGTTGGCTCATGCCTGTGATTCTAGCACTTTAGGAGGCTGAGGTGAATGGATCACTTGAGGCCAGGAGTTTGAGACCAGCCTGGGCAACATAGTATCTGTCTCTACCAAAAAAAGTTTCTTTTAATTAACCAGATGTGCTGGCACTCTCCTGTAGTTCCAGCTACTCAGGAAACTGAGGCAGGAGGATCACTTGAGCCCATGAGGTCAAGGGTACAGTCAGCGGTGATCTTACCACTGCACACTAGGCTGGGTGACAGAATATTAAAAAAAAAAAAAAAAAAAGTAGGGTGGGTGCAGTGGCTCATGCCTATACTCTCAGCACTTCGGGAGGCCGAGGCAGGAGAATTGTTTGAGTCGAGGGGTTGAGACCAGCCTGGGCAACATGGCAAGACCTCATTTCTGTTTTGTTTTGTTTTGTTGAGACAGAGTCTTGCCCTGTTACGCAGGCTGGAGTGCAGTGGCTAGATCTCAGCTCACTGCAACCTCTTTCTCCCAGGTTCAGTTCTCCTGCATCAGCCTGCCGAGTAGCTGGGATTACAGGTGCACGCCACCACACCTGGCTAATTTTTGTATTTTTAGTAGATTGGGTTTCATCATATTGGCCAGGCTGGTCTAGAACCCCTGACCTCATGAGCCGCCTGCCTTGGCCTCCCAAAGTGCTGGGATTACAGTTGTGAACCACCTTGCCCAGCCTAAGACTTCATCTCTAATTAGATTTAAAAAAAATAATTTTAAAAAATAAATAAAAATAAATTGTAGGCCAGGCATGGTGACTCACGCCTGCAATCCTAGCACTTTGGGAGGCCAAGGCGGGCAGATTACCTGAGGTCAGGAGTTCAAGACCAGCCTGACCAACACGGTGAAACCCCATCTCTACTAAAAATACAAAAAAATTAGTCGGGTGCAGTGGTACACACCTATATCTCAAAAATAGTAACAATAATAAAAATAAATAAATTTTTGGAGCCGGGCAAGGTGGCTCATGCCTATAATCCCAGCACTTTGGGAGGCCGAGGTGGGTGGATTATGAGGTCAAGAGATTGAGGCCATCCTGGTCAACATGGTGAAACCCCGTCTCTACTAAAAATACAAAAATTAGCTGGGCATGGTGGCGCATGCCTGTAGTCCCAGCTACTCGGGAGGCTAAGGCAGGAGAATTGCTTGAACCCAGGAGGCAGAGGTTGCGGTGAGCCGAGATTGCGCCATTGCACTCCAGCCTGGGTAACAAGAGCAAAACTCTGTCTCAAAAAAAGAAAATAAATAAATACATAATTTTTTGGAAAGTGTACTGGGGCTGGATGTGGTGGCTCACACCTGTAATCTCAGCACTTTGGGAGGCTGAGGTGGGTAGATCATGAGGTCAAGAGATTGAGACCATCCTGGCTAACATGGTGAAACGCCATCTCTACTAAAAACACAAAAAAATTAGCAGAATGTGGTGGCACGTGCCCGTAGTCTCAGCTACTCAGGAGGCTGAGGCAGGAGAATCACTTGAACCCAGGAGGCAGAGGTTGCAGTGAGTTGAAATCATGCCACTGCATTCCAGCCTGGCGACAGAGCAAGACCCTGTCTCAAAAAAAAAAAAGGGCCAGGTGCAGTGGCTTCCACCTGTAATCCCAGCACTTTGGGAGGCCAAGGAGGGTGGATCACAAGGTCAAGAGATCAAGACCATCGTGGCCAACATGGTGAAACCCCATCTCTACTAAAAATACAAAAATTAGCTGGGCGTGGTGGTGCACGCCTATAGTCCCAGCTACTCAGGAGGCTGAGGCAGAAGAATTGCTTGAACTCAGGAGGTGGAGGTTGCAGTGAGCCGAGATCACGCCACTGCGCTCCAGCCTGGTGCCTGGTGACAGAGCAAGACTCTGTCTCAAAAAAAAAAAAATGTATTGGGTCTTGGGTGTGTTGTAGGCGTGGATATTCACTCCAGGCTGTGCAGGTGTTGGGGGTATGTGTGTTTCTTAACCTCTACACTACAATCCAAGGAAAATACCAGCTGGGGCAGCTTCCCGTGTTCCATCCACCCT